GCTCTCCGGCTTCGTCGCCAGGGCCGGGGCACAGTCTAACAGAGTCTAACACGCCTGGTCATCCTCGTGAGTGGGCGTCATGTCCCGGCAGGAAACGAAAGTACCGAATCCAAGTCCCGGTGGACGACGTGGAGTTCTCACAAGAAAGTATCGGAGAGAGATTCACTTGCGGCCGGAAGCTGCAGAAGACCGTAGACGATCTCTTCGATGGCAAGGCAGATTGCTGGTCTGCAGAGCCCGCTCAAGGCAGTACAAATACGTGACCGTGAAGGTCCATCCCCGCCACAGCGACTTCCTTGTGCTACAAGCGATGAAAGTAGCAGAAAGAACACGATATATAAGCCAGCGTCTGACGTTGTTTGTTGCGGTGTTTGCCTCCTTTGTCTTGGCCATGATTTCATGCTCGGCCTCAGGTCGGAACAATCGACGCTTGTGGTGCTTGAAGGAATACCAAAAGCTGCGAAGACGAGAAGACAAAGACTTTACTGTCAAAGTACGGCTGGATGCCAGCTTCTCGGACTTTCTCTCCGAAAGCCCTGCCGTCACTCAAAAAAAGCAGCAGCTGAGCCACATGTACGGTTTGCCACCACGATTCAGGCAAAGACTTTTCAGTGGCGGCACTGCTCTGGATGATGCTGGGCTCACAGTCGAGGTACCTACTAAGTAAGCATATGCCTTCCCTGATTCTGGCGGCTTCAAGCTAAGTTCCGTGCAAAAAGCCGGGTTTAGTTTTGTGGGCTTCGGGATTTAACCCTAAACCCTAAAGCCTAAACTTAGGGAGAAAAAGAAACTTAGGGAGAACCGAGGATGATGCCAAGCTGGAATCACCTGTAGACCTCGAGCTCGTGCTGCTGACATACTGGGATGCGTCCCCGACGCACGAGAGGGAGCTCCTTGCTGCCGCCACAGAGGGCTCCGTTTCCAAGGCTGGTTCAGGATTTCAGGTTGAAGGCTTATGTCTTAGGGTTTAGAGTTTAGGGGTTTCGAGTTTAGGCCTTCGGGTTTAGAGTTGAGGGGTTTAGGGTTTCGAGTTTAGGTCTTCGGGTTTAGAGTTTAGGGGTTTAGGGTTTCGAGTTTATGTCTTCGGGTTGAGAGTTTAGGGGTTTAGGGTTTCGCGTTTATGTCTAGGTTTGGGGCGCTAAGCATGAGACCGTGCAGTCTATAAACCGAACCATTTCACTTCCCTGAAGCCTGTAAGCCCGAACCCTAAACTCTCCCAAACGGTAGAGTTTACACTGACCCTAAACCCTAAACCCTAAACCCTACCCTAAACCCTAAACCCTAAACCCTGAACCCTAAACGGAAGCTAGAAGAGCAAACCCTAAACCCTAAACTCCGCAGGTAGAGGCCCTGCTGCAGCAGCCCCCGCAGCCGGATGCGGTCGATGAGCGTGGCAGAAGTCCATTGATGCGGGCGGCAGCGCAAGGCAATGTTGCAGTCTTGCATTTGCTGCTGGAGGCCGGTGCGGACAAGGACAAAGCTTGCAATTCCGGAATGACTGCTTTGATGCGGGGCTGTTTCAGAGGCCATGTTGATGTCCTTCGAGTGCTGCTGGAGGCCGGTGCTGACGTGAACCGAAGAATCAGCAACAATGGCTGCACTTGCTTGATGTTGGCATGCCAAGAAGGCCACGCTGAAGCGCTGCGGTTGCTGCTGGAGGCCGGTGTTGACAAAGACTCTGTCAGCAGTCACGGCATCACTGCTATGATGCTGGCATCTCAGCATGCCCACCCAGATGTTTTGCGCCTGCTACTGGAAGCAGGTGCCGATAAGGATGTAAGGGCAAAGGGGTATGGCAACACTGCTCTAATGGTGGCATCCATAAAAGGCTGCTCTTGGAGGCCGGTGCCGCGAAGGACTTGGCCAACAAACGGGGCTTTACTGCACTGATGCTGGCATCACAGCAGGGCGATGCCGAAGTTGTCCGACTGCTGTTGTCGTACGGAGCCGACGAGGACTTCCCAAGAAAGGGTGCCGCCCTGCTGGAGGCTTCTTGTCACGGTCATACAAATGTCGTACGACAGTTACGCGACACCGCTTCCAAAGACGTCGTCGACACTGATGGCTTCTCAGCCCTGATGTGGGCATCTGAAAGGGGCCACATGGACATTTTGCGATTGCTGCTTCAAGCTGGTGCCAACAAAGACCTCGTGTGCACGGGTGGCTCCAGTGCCCTCATGCGCGCATGTCTTGCAGGCCACCTTGAAGCCGTGCGACTCCTCCTGGCAAGCAGAGCCTTAGTAGCTGAGTAGGTAACCTTTAACCTTTTGGGGCTTATATAACCCTACTATAATTTGAAAGGTTAACCTTTTTTGGGCTAAGATACTCAACGCCTAAGGAGCGAGGGTCGACTTAGCCGACGTTCATGGCTGCACTGCCCTCCAGTTGGCTGCTCGAGAAGGGGATGCTGAAATCCTGGAGTTGCTTCTGAAAGCTGGTTCCGAAAAGGACTCTGTCAGCAACCATGGTCTCTCAGCCTTGATGGCGGCTTCACGTCGAGGTCACGTTGAAGTCGTGCGATTGCTGCTGGAGGTCACGGCCGATATGAATTTAAGCACACATGATGGTTGCACTGCCATGACGTTTGCGTGTGCCGACGACCGCGTTGAAATCTTGCAGTTGCTGGTGCAGCAGAAATGCCTGCAGTTGTGACTGACGTTGATGACATGATGAGCCCACCCGTTCCCGGCTTACAGAAGATCCACGATAATCCTAAGCCCTCGTGCTGCAGCTAGACCGCAAAAAGCTTTCAACAATATAGCTAGCTGTCTTACTGATCCGCTGCGAGCACCGCTTGGTCTGTCGATGAGTACATGCCTCAGAACTCGTAGTTCCAGAGGACTTGAATCTCAAGGCCTATATGCAAAACCCAACCTCAAAGTCCTGATTATGTCATGCTACACCCTAAACAGTCTCAAACTCCAAACATACCTACACCCTAACCCCGAAACCCACTACTAGAGGCTCTCACCCTCGATCGCGTCCGCGGAACATGCAACCCTAAACCTCGGGAGTTGCCCATGGGTAGTTCTCTAAACTAGGGTCCCTTTCAGGGTCCCTTTTTAT